TTTAATATTTGAGTTAATAAAAATAAAATCAAAAATATTTTTTAAATAAATTGCTATACATATTCTATTAATGTTAAAAAAAATATTTTTATTATTATAAAATATAAAAAATTTATTTTTTAATTAATATTAATATTAATATAATAGATTTTTTTATGATATAGTTTTTTTACAAATAAAAAAATTGTCAATTTTTATTGCCAGCACTGTATATGGTAATTTAAGATGTAATTTGCACAATTTATTTTTATTCGTAAACTCAAATAAATATATACCAATTTATAATTTTTTAATATACAATCATTAAAATTTAAATCACGTTTTACAAAATCAAAATTGTTAAACAGATAATAAACCCAATTATTAAATGCTAATGTACATTCCAGTCCGTTTAACTTTGCTCTTTAATTCTTAGTATCCATAAATCCAACAGTAAAATCATTCATAATTCGTTTACTGAATGGTAAACTAGTGGTACTTACTTTTAGTATCAACAACAGTTCCAAACATATATCATCATGATATCTTAAGTGTTCAACTGTTTTATCTTTCGACCATTGGTCAATAAGTCTTTGATAACAATTAAGAACTTAAATTTCGACAACCCATCAAAAAGAAAACTCAAATAGAAATTAATAAACAAACCTTGAGGATTTGTCGTCATTGGAATTATTATTTTTGACTGAAGTACAATCGATATATAATAACTTAATGACTAAATCAATTGGAGAATTAAGAAATCACATATATTAGCGTAGAAATTACTTTGCATCAATAAATTGACCCTTGAGTAAATGACGCGGAACAAAGTAATCGAATACTCTTGATTTTACTAGTGCAAAAATACAATATAACTGGCTCAGTATTATAACTTACCTCCGTTAGGTTTCAAGTCTTCTAAAAAATTAAAATTCTGAGTAACACATTGAGAAAATCTGTGCCACGGAGACACATCTTGCAAAGCATTAAACATAATTTTTGTGTTCCAGTCAAATAGCCAAATCTAAATAACATTCATCAGTGCTAAAGAATCAGAATCAACGATCTTTTCAAAGAATTATAGCTAACCAGTATAAGTGGTGTATTCGACTTTCTTCCTTCAATGATGAATCGATAAGTAGCATGTGCTTTTGCTGCCTCAAGGAAGTCAGTTGCTATAATGGCAGTAAACCGACACATATGTACAGACGAACTACCACATTCTAAAGATCTAATGAAAATTATAATATAATCGAGATCTTCGGAAATTTATAATAGAAGAACTCACTCTTTATTCTCTTCTAGTTCAATTATCGTCAGGTATTTGTTAAATTTAATAGCCAATGGTATCGTATCTTGATGACATAAAAGTATTAAAATGAATTTCTATTTAATTAAAGTATAAGCAGAATATAATACCTGGTTCATCAAACGTAGAATATAGTCCTTCTCCGATAGGGCTCAAACATCTGGAGCAACTCATGGGCCTCCACTTTCTAGAAAGCTCCCTTGCCCACTATGTATAACAGTAGGTAAATATAATTCATTAATATGTACTCCCTCATAATATCACGCGTTATAACACTAGTAAACGCATATTGATTCTAAAGGAAGCTATTCATGTTAATTTAGGACCCATAGTATCGACCAATTATCAGTTGCTCTAGATATTAGCCTTCTTTAAGTCCGCGAAATAGTAGATAATGAACATAAGTACAGAAAAGTATTTATTCTTACATCCAATTGAGTAACACCATCTTCAATTTTTACAGCACCACTTTTAACATCAGCATTATGCACCAAAAAATAAGTGTTGCCCACCAAACAAGTTTTTTCTTTTGCAGTAATGTCACCTATGTGTGCTTGTTGGTAATTCTCTTTATGACACATCCAACAATCTAGTAATTCTAACCAATGTTCGGAAGGCATATCCATTATCTTATCGAATACTTTTGGTTTAAGCAAATTCGTTTTACAGCTGCTGCACTTGATATTTTTGAGCTTAGCAACTTCGGCTGCGGAAAAGGGTGGGATAATATCATTTTCCGTCGATTGCTTTGCCGGTTTTTTACGAACATAACTTCTCAGTTTAACTTTAATATCTAAACTTTCGCTAGAGGTAGTTATTGAAGGTTGTTCTGATGTTTCTATGGTCTGGGAACAATTTAAAACCGTTTGTAAAGGGATCGATGTTTTTTGCTCCTCGACAATAATTTTTAATGGACGTATTTCAATTTTATAGATAGATTTCGTCTTTTCTTCTGGTATTCCGATGTTTATGGACATCGATCGAACATTAGGTAATATTTCAGCAAATACAGCCGGCTCTTTTAGGGTTGTCATAGTGTAATAACGAAATATGATAAGTTGGGTCTAACCCTCAAAGACGAGATGATAATCAGATAACGATAAAAAATTTGTATAAATAGATCTTTTTTCGCACGCAGGCTAATTCTATATTAACATTACAATGTATTTCAATTAATAATAATAATAATATTATTATTATTATAATATTTTTTATATTAATATATTAATATTTAATATTTTATTTTAATATTTTGTTACTTTGTTATTTTATTATTTTATTATTTTATTTTTTTTTTGGGGGTTATCCCAGTAGGTAAACATCATTTCTTTATTTGATATTGTATATTACAAGGTATACAT